GCATGTCTGTTAAGTTTATTCTTAACATGGTAAATAAAATGGCAACGAAGCCCAGTGTACTGCGTCTTATGCCGTATTTTTTGTTATCTTCATACTCAAATACAACAAATACAAATAGATTTATTACGAAAAAACGTATAAAACAAATGATATATTTATTTCTAGACAAGTTGACGAACATGTAGCGCAACTGTATCGCTTTAGAGAACAGTTCTTCCAACACCTACTCATTCAGTGAAAGATTTAAGAAGAACTCTTACTCGACCTTAACTACCTACGCTTTGCTTGAACAATTCCCAACGAGGTTACTATAAGGTTGCAAGTCTTGTCAAAATGTAGTATGCAATACGTTGGGGAAAAATAGATATATACGAACAAACTACTACAGTCTAGCAACTAGTCTTTAAGTGTAATGTATTTTTGCTACAAAGAGCTCATAACGAAGTCAAATTTTGCAATTTGATGTCAAAACTAGCTAGTTGTTGAATCAAATAGCGTTGTGACTTTGTATACATCACGATCTTGTGGTATCAGAGCTGTACTGCTGCAGACTAATTCAACTAAACATGAGCAAGATTGGGATTTCTATTCTCTGGGGTGCGAGGCTCGTCCAAAGTTCAAGCCGCTACAGTGTTTTGGATCACCTAAAGAACTTTGGGAATTCAGTTATTACGTAAATTTCTCAAGATGAACTTGAGAGCAGCGCAGTTATAACGAAAGTCTCTGATGAAAGGCAATGATTTCTTTCATGAATGATCTAACGTTAGCTTGAAATCAGGAAAAGAGACTATTGATGACTTACTTTCCATCGATGGTGCACAACAGCAGGGAGGGGATTGGTGGGTTTGGGGAAATTCGCTGAGGCACTAGTGTCCGGATTGTTCGTCAAATAGGTTTCCTTTCCTATAAAGAAATGACACTTTTTTGGCGGCTTATTGACTCAGAAAAAATTGAGAGTTAACGAATAATTTTGGCGCCAAAAATAATTTCTCTTAATTTATTAAATTTAATATACGCACATCCATAAGTTATGCTATTTTTTCTATTTATTTTGTTCTAAAATTCTAAATATTTTTTTTTCATAACATAAAATATGATGTCTAGTCTCATTTACATAACAACATGCCTTAGAATAGGTTTTTTATTCTTTTTGTCACTTTAAATTAAGAATAAAAAGATAATTTAAATTGAATATTTGCGATTATTCTCACTAATGCTGCTTCCTCTTTTATTAGGTAGACAACAAAAAGTTAGCCTTGGACTCCCATATCAGATTTTTGATTGGTTGCGTATATAATGAGCTGGGATTGATAGACGAAAACCCAGTGAGAAAATTTTTGACGCCGATTCAGAGAGTCCTATCATTCATCGAATCATTGGTAAAGTATCCTACAACGATATTTAAAAACATAATTCTAATTTAATTAACCTGTTTATTATACGAATATTGCAATTTTTGCTTCTAATTCCGGAAGAATTTGCTGACATTGAGAAAACGAATTAATTTTGTAAAATATAGAGTGTGTGTGAGAAGAAAATATTATATCATATGCGAAGTGATTTTGTGGAAAAAATTTTCATGGGGATAGAAAATTTGACATCGGCATTTTACGACAAATGAGAATATTATTAGGCATATTATGAAGAATAAAAATTTCTCCATGACGATGAATGTACGATTAATTCAAATACAAATAATTGACAGGCTTCACAGTATTGAAAATATGACCAATCATTGAAGAAAAATTGATATGAGAAAAAATCAGTTCATTTTCATCCATGGCTGTTTCATACAAGTCACTTGGTCTCGTCAACTCAAAGGACATCTTCGCCAAAGCAGTTAACGGCGGCTACGCTATCCCCGGCTACAACTTCTCCAACCTCGAACAACTTCAAGCCATCATCACCGCCTCCGTCAAGACAGAATCCCCAGTTATTCTTCAAGTTTCTGCTGGTGCTCGCAAGTACGCCAACCAGACAATGCTCCGCTACATGGCTCAGGGTGCTGCAGAATTTGCTAAGGAAATCCACCCAGAGCACAAGCTCATCCCAATCGTTCTCCACCTTGATCACGGTGACTCCTTCGAACTCTGCAAGTCCTGCATTGATCTTGGCTTCTCATCAGTCATGATCGATGGTTCCCACCATCCATACGACGAGAACGTCGCTCTTACAAAGAAGGTTGTTGAGTACGCTCACTCCCGCCCAGACTACGTCACAGTCGAAGGCGAACTCGGCGTTCTCGCTGGTGTTGAAGATGATGTCAAGGCTGAAAAGCACACATACACACGCCCAGAAGAAGTTCAGGACTTCGTTTCCAAGACAGGTGTTGACTCACTTGCTATTGCTATCGGCACATCCCACGGTGCATACAAGTTCCCACCAGGCACAAAGGCCGAAATCCGCCTCGACATCCTCCACGAGATCGAGAAGAAGCTCCCAGGCTTCCCAATCGTTCTCCACGGCTCATCCTCCATCCCACAAGAGTACGTCGAGATGGTCAACAAGTACGGCGGCCACATGCCAGAAGCCGTCGGCATCCCAGAGCACCAACTCCGTGAAGCCTCCAAGTCTGCCGTCTGCAAGATCAACATCGACAGTGATGGCCGTATGGTCATGACCGGCACCATCCGCCGCCTCTTTGTTGAGCACCCAGACTGGTTCGACCCACGCCAGTACCTTGGTGAAGCCCGCACAAAGCTTACCGAGATGTACATGCGCAAGGACCAAGAAGTTCTTGGCTGCGCAGGCCATGCTTTCGACTAAATAATATTCTATCTCGATTCTTGTTTTAAATCATTAAATTTTTTCTTATTTATATTATGAAATTCTTCTTTTTTGCTAAAAGATTATTCCAATCCACACAATAAAAACGCCATATTAACATCAATTACTTGCCACATTTGAAGCTATCACTATGTTATTGTTTATTATAATCTTGGAAGGTTTTATATGTTAATAGAAATTATGAAGCCTAATTTTTCACTCAATTTCTCAGGTGAATAGAATCCATCGCTATCATATATATGTGTATTAATATATCTTAGTTTGGCAAAGCATTATTCATATAATTTCGATTTTCATTATTAATATTTTTCATTTTTTGGTTTTCTAGGTTGCAATTCAACATACAAAGATTAGTGTATTCTATAGCAATTAAAATTACGGTTTTAAATTCTGACGAATATAGAATTCCAATTAAAACATTACACTTTTATAACTATGCAGAGTAAACAATTGGAACGGCCAAATTATACAGTCATTTTCCATTATCAAATTTTATCACATTTCGGTCCCAATTTCCTTTAGGTTCAATTTTATATAGATACATCGCTAGTACATGATATTTTATCTAAATATGGTTGATTTTAAACCAAATTTTTCATTCGCAAAATTGATTAAAATTCGGATATCGTATAATCGATAGACGACAAAATTTTCATCTTTGAGATCCGTAACACTAATCTAGTATTATTTCTTAACGATCATAATTTTATGGACTCAAAATTCATTATAATTCAAATTTTTGTTTACTCCTGACTTTGAAGATCTCGTACAACATCTAATTGTGAATTAATTTATCGCGATCAAAAATTATTTGAAAACTTTACAAAATTGTTTGAATCATATTATACGATTTTACATCATATCACTTTTATTTTTCTAATGATGACTGAAAATAGCATTCCATCCTCATCCAGCCCAACAAATTCCCTAAAAGTTGAAACAGAGCCACACATTAGCTCCCAAAAGCGAGTTACCTTTTCACAACCCTTTGATTATCAACCGTATCAAAAAATTTCGAGGAATCGTAATTTATACCATTGCAATGACTACAACAATGATTCATATATTGATGAGATTCGCTCTAGTTTTCACTTTAGCGTATCTTCGATTCCTTCGATTATTTTATATTTGCTCTGCATAGCTATTTACGTTAGTTATGCATTTAAATTTGCTGATAATAAGATTTCATTTGCCTCATCTTTTCATGTATTATTATCACCTTTCTTTTTATTTATTTATGGAATTATCAAAACAACGGTGAATAACAAATCGCTAGATTTTTCATATCTTAGAGATGATATTGATTGTAAGTAATCAGGATCGTTCTTTAATTTATTCCTAATTTTTTTTATAAGTTGAATCATCCTTTTAACCTACTTTAACTCTGAAATGTTGAAGTAAAGGAAACGGGTTCTATAATAATTTACTCTGATTTTTTTTTTCACATATTTTATTTATCTTAACATTTGGAATGAACAAAGGAAAACGTATCTGAAACATAACTGTGAAATCTTATTCTATTTCGATATTTGAAATTCAATAAAATAATGGAGTTTTGTTTACATTCAGTCAACGATTTCATTACATTTCAGTAAGCTTATTGACCGTATATTGATTTTACAAGAAATATAATTCCAATTTTGAAATATTTCATTGAAATACTTTATTTTTTAATGATTTTTACGTCCCACTCGCTGTACAGTTGTTATCAATGCATTACAATATTAATTAACTCTGGAAATTGATCAAAGAAAGTATTTCTTCTCAATAATAATTGTTTGGTATCTCAAATGCTCAAAAAAATACTAAACACATTCAATTCCTTTATTCTATTATTAAATTTTCAAGAAAGCGATCTTTTGAAAAGAAATCAAACAAATTTTTTCATGCATAATGGTGCTAATTCATCCTGCACTTGATCTAATTGAAAAAAAAAAAAAAAAAAGGTAGTGGGGCCTCCAGGCACTTCGTGCCCTCTAGCCCTGAAGATGTTTAGTATAACTTTGTCCGGACAAGTAAGGGTCTATCGTCGCTACAGGAAAAGTTACGGGCGTTCCAAGGAAGTATACTTTGAGAAGCCTTTTCTCCATTTTAAAACAAGATAGGACGGTTATTTTACAAAACTGACAACACTTTGACCGAGTAGTTTTTTGTGCTGAACAAAAAGTGTCATATAAACATCTGTCAAAAACCGCTTTTTAACTTCACTTAAAATGCCACGTAAGCTACGTAAGAATATACGTAAGAGGAAGAGAGCATTGAAACATCCAATAGTAAAACTGACACCACAACAACAGTTGCAACAACAAATTATGAATGACCCCACTATGTTGCAACAAATGTCAAGCAACCCTATGCTTTTAAACCGAGTTATTGGTGCACAGAGTGGAGGTTTAAGAGCGGCACTTTTAGCGAAAATGGCAGGCTATGGTGGAGCTGCAGACGGAACAGCTTATAACCCTCAAAGTCAAATGAATTTGAGTTCACTCAAAAATCAAATAACAGATGTCAAAAAGTCAAACATAGACATACAGAAACAAATAAGTGAAAACGAAAAGAAACTAGAATATGACAGACACACAAAGAAACTCAATGAGTTAAACGTAGAGAAAAAGAAGAAAGAAGAACAACTGAAAGAACTAAGTACAGAGGAATATGCGAAAAAAGTGTCAGAAAAAGCAGCAGAAGTAGCAAAAATGGAACAAGATGTTATAAATTTGAAAAACCATACTACTCAATATAAAGTACTGAAAGATGAAGAGATAAAACAAAAAGCCCTGAAGACATATATGGATAGCGATGAGTATAAAAAAGAAGTTGAAGCAAATGTAAAGGCAGAAAAACTTTTACAGTTGCAAAACCAAACCGTACAGTATGAAAACTTAGCACAAGAAAGTAAAAATAACGACGCAGCCATGCAAAAGGCAATGAAAAGCGCAGAATATATAAAAGCTAATAATGACTGGTTAGATGCCCAAGCCAACGCCAAAGCAGCCCAACTTATAGGGTCAATAAGGACAAAAATACAAGCGGATGAAGACAGTTCAAATGAAGCTTTAATGAATGCTGACTTTAAGAACGCCTTCGAAGCTCTTCATAGTAAGGTGAAACTAGTGAACGACTTCTCATCTGGAAAGAAACTGAAGTCTGAAGGTTTCGACAAAGAGTTAAGAGAAGTAGCACAAAATATGACGAAAATAACAGATGCAGCAACGAGACAGGCAGTTCAAAGTGCCTATGACGCCGTTAGAGCAACTGTTGTGGAAAGTCAAGAAAAAGAGTTACAACAGACCAAAACAGACCTAGTAAATGCTTTCTTAAAAACGAAAAGTCAGGTAGGACATTATGCTGCAGATGGAACATATGTGCCAGCTGGTGGAACTTATATACCAGCTGGTGGAACTTATATACTAGCTAGTGGAACTTATATACCACCAAACCCTCCAAGAGAAGCACCTGCACCAGGACTACCTAAAACATTTACATCGTCACATGGACACAGACACAGGCATGCACCAAAACCAACACAACAACCAACACCACAACCAACAGTTCAAAACACTGCACCACAACCAACAGTTCAAAACACTGCACCACAACCAACAGTTCAAAACACTGCACCACAACCAACAGTTCAAAACACTGCACAGCAACAACCACAAACAGAGCAAGGACATAAAAGAAGTAGAGAACAAGGAAACCAAGAATTCTTAAAAATGCTTAAGGAAAATTATGGTTACCCAGATACTCTTGACTTTAGTGACAGATATAAAGAAGCTATTAGAAAGTTCAAGGAAGGAAATACTGACCCGAACCTATTTAGCTTTATGGTTCAGCACCAAATGGGATATAATTTCAAACCTGGAAAATACAAGCTCGCTAAGGGATATGATTTAATAGCATATCATCCAAATGACATGACTGAATTTACTCCGAGATATTTGGTGTCAGAGATAAATGATAATTCAACTATCTTCATGAAACGCGTAAAAAAATAGAGACGGAACGAAAGAAGAAAGGGTTATGAATGCGGATGGCTTAAATAGGGAACTTGTTAAAAACGGTCTCGGAATATATGAAATGCCAGCAGATGAGGTACAAGAAACTCCACAGGAAGAAGTTCAGATACAACCAGACATGGAAGAAATAGTTCAGCAACAACAGCTAGAAGAGCCTGAAGGAAACGAACAAGTCCCTCCTTTGGAAACTAACTTCACAGAACTAGATGAAGATTTGGAACAGCCGAAAAATCTTGACCCTCAACAAGAGTATGCGGAGAATATGGAATCTTTCCAAGAGTCTAAGAAAATTCGGCTGACATAGTAGAAGAATATCGAAAAATGTTCGCCGACATACAAAAGACTCCAACATCAGATGAAAATATTCAGCATAGAATGGAAGAACTGAAAGAAAGTGTACGCAAATACAACAATCCTTTTTACTTACGACCATATAACGTTCAATCTTTGGCTGAACTCGGTGAAAATAAAAGGTTAAATTTCACCAAAACATATAGAAATGAAACATTGTTTAAAGTTCATTCAGAACCTAACCATATGGAAACAAACCTACTTTTGTTTCTGCAGACTATGGAACTACAATGAGATGGGTCATAAAGCTAATCCGGATAGGTGGTTCATAAACTTACAACCACAATTCCAAGAAGTTGTAGACGCAATGGAAGTGAATGGTGAACCAGATATAGCTGGTATTTTCAGCGCGGCTTTAATGCCATTGAAAGATATGAAACATGCAGATATTTTTGGACCAGTATGAAATGAACATGGCTGATGGAAATATAACACCTGACGTTCTAAAACATTTATCTCAAAGAACTACACAGAACCATAAAGATGGTATATTTGGTGAAGAGTTTAGAAAGAAAGTTAGGGAGATAGAAGGAAGAGAACCTATTGTACATGACCTTGCAAACGAAAGTTTACAAAATGTCATAAAAACTTACTTTGCAGACAATGAACCGAGAAGGGATGAATATTTAAGAAAACTCAAATGGACAGTACCAAATGAAATTTAGTATTGAAAAACATGTTCCTTGACAAAATAAAACCAACTACAGAAATAAATGACGCAAGACTGAAACATTGGGTAAAAGCTTTCCCATTCACAAAAGATATTATTGGTAACATGGAAAGAAAACCAGAATGGCTACAAAAACATATATTTGGAAACGAGCTTATTCCATATGGACAAGCTCTGTTTGAAGAGCTTGAACCGGAAACTCAGGAAAGAGTCATGCAAACAATAAGCGACGACTCAAATACAAACTATGACAAAATCTTTCTAGGATATAGGTTACCTGAGATGGGCGACCAGAGCCCAAAGGCAAAAAGGACATGGGAAATTTACAACATACTAGGTGAACATGAGGCAAAGATGCAACAACTTGAAGCAGAGGCAAGTTACCAAAAGCGACACCAAAGAAGAAGAGTAGAACAAAGTGAAAGTAGTGAAGAAGTAACTTCATCTAGTGAAAGTAGTGGCAATGAAGGAAAAAGAAGAGTTAAAACTCAGTCAGGAAGAAAGTAAAGCTTGGTACGAAACAATTATGACACATAAATCCAACTATTCTATATTTTTACCCATATGAAATGTACGCCGCTCAGAATATAACGCCAACAGTTTTGGATGCCATGAACGGAAATGTTTCCGAATGGTATAACGAATGCGACAATGCCATTAGAAGGTCAGAAATAGTTCCTGGAACTTACGAATATACAACTGCTGTTTCTTATGGAAACGTAGGTGAGTTTGGAGAAGGTTCTTCAACAACAGTAGATATTGCTTGCGACAGGTTTCATATTATTTCTATTGACAACTCATTCTTATACGTGGAACAAGACATTGAAATAAAACCTTCTGCCAAGTTGTCTGACAAGAAAGGTTGCAATGGAATTTTCTATTCGGATACCAATATGCTCCAGAAGTTTTCATGGGATATAAGATATATTCTAACTCTGACTTAGTTCAAACAGTAACATGGGCAAACTATGAATGGTTCGCTTTTGAGAAACTCAGTACCAACCACAAGCTAGAGAAACAAACAGACCAGTATGCAAATATTGAGAAAATAAGAAAGACTTGACCCTAACGTTCCAGGAGTTTATGTTAAACCTTTCTGGTTCAGATGGAACTGCTGCCACTAAAGTAAAACTGAAACTTAGAGTTCCTTTGTCATCTTTCCTCATCTTCAGGTTTTTTAAGATACTTGCCAAACTGGGCAGGAAAAATTTCTATTGAACTTACTCCAAGCAAAAATAACTTAGTCATTGCACCAACACAAGACCCATTCAGCATTACTATAGCTGGAACTGGTGGAGCCAAGTTCTGTGACTTTTGCAAAGACAAAGTTGACTTAGACTTTGGTTTCTCAAACTTCAACAATGAAGTAAACTTATTTCAATGCTGCTGGAACTGCTTGGGACCCAGTTAAGTTCACATGCGAAAAATTTGAATGCAAGAGAATAGAAAGCAGACTTGCAGTCTATATGTTGGACCCAGATATTTCAAATGCTTTAGCTGCCAAATATATTGCAGTTCCACTTATGTTCCCTATACACCAAATATCTGTCAAAGACCTTTGCAGGTGAAGTTGGAAACCAAAGTGCTGACCCAGGTGCAAGAACAGATATTGCTTTAACAACTGCAATGAAACATGCAGATACTATGTTTGTACTGTTCAGACGAACTATTAAATGACTATTCTTGTTTCTACAACCCCGGTATTAAATATCATATAAACATAGATGGCAAATATTATCCAAGAGAAGAATATTCTACAGTTGAGGATATGAGGTCATACAACTTGACATTAGATGCTATGAACTTTAACAACAATTTCACAAACAACCATTAACCCTGAAATGCAAAGTTCTATATGCCATGTGGAAAGTATGGACTCATACAGGAGTCAAAAAAACTCAATATATAAATGGAGGAGACCGTTTCAAACTTTTGCTTGGCATTCCATTTGCTGACTCAGAAGACTTTATGGTGGTATTTCAACTGTTGGTACTTGTAAATACAATATACTGGTGACAGAGACGGTCCAGATGAACTGAGAGCAAAGAAGTTTACAAAACCAATAGCACTTTTCACGGAAGATGCTCTTTTGAAGATTCGTTCGATGAAACCTGCTGGGGCTCCTCAGATTGGCATAACGACAGCTTCCATCGAGCAATTTTGGCAGCAGGTCAGTAAGTTTGTCTTTGAACTGACTTCTCTCGTCAAATATTGACAGTACGCCAGTTTTGACATAATATTGTAAGATAAACTTACCTTTAGAAATATCTGTAAGTTGTTGATTATATTTTTGTCCTGTCAAGAACTTTCACCATTTCAGTTATACAACTTTTTTGCTTTATGGAAATATTTTGGTTCAGCAAAATGCTATTCTATAACATTCCCATTGTTTGTATAAGAGACTATTCTGTCAATGTATTTGTATTGTTTGTGTGTGTAAACTTTGCTGCTTCAATTCGAAGAGATACTCGAATATCCCACTTTTTTTACTAAGTAAAATGTCATTTCCGAAAAATAGAAGCGTGAGTTTTTCAAAAGGTTAATGGCGGTGGCAGATGTGAAGTAATTCACCAATCAAACAAACAGTCAAAGTGTTGTTGTCAAGTCAAAGACAGAGAGTTTGAAGTGGGGAAACCATACGAGGACGAAGATGGTATAACAATTGTTCCTGTAAAAGAACCAACATATCCTGAAGTTAGCAGAGACTTAAGTTCTGTTGCAGATATTCGAAACGACTACCAACAACTGAAAGACAAACTTCAAACTCAGGAGAAGATTTGTCAAGCTTTAAGTATAATGTAAACTTGGTCGAACACAACCCTGTAAAAGTGAACTCATATGTCATTCGCACCTCATGAAGTTTTGAAAGAACTATTGAAACTTTTGACAGAGGCAGACGATATAAACATCAAAGAAATAGAACCCGACATTAGTTTGCTAAGAAGAGATAAAAAGTCGTATCTGGCAAAGAATCAGGTTTTACATTTAAATGAAAGCAGATGTATACTTCGAATAAACTTCAAGCTATTGGCATGGTTAGATAAATGACGATTGCTTTATAGAAAATCTTTAAATTCAGTGACTCAAAGAATGTCAATAGATGACCTTCGTGGAATGTTCCAATCGACGTTTACAGTAGAAGGTTAGCAGGATTCTTACAAGGCATTGTCAAATTGGTGAGTATTTGGTCTCGTGAGAACATTGTTATAAAATCCAGTATAGTGAACTTTGCTGAAGAATCTATATTATGGTCTTTCAAACTATACTGTATTCGCCGCCGAAGCTTATAGTATAACAACTTTGTCAGTAAGTTTAACATAAGACTTGTCGAACCTTCTTCAATGAAAGATGTTGTGCACTAAAGATCGGATAAGGTATGGACTGCATTATTGGATGATTTAATAGCCATTAAATGAGCTGTTCTTTGAAGGTCATTTCATGATGAAGTATGACTTGTTGTAAGAAGATTTAGCAGATTGTTCAGATCATTTTTTGAAGTCTGTATAGATGATGATAAGAAGAAGTTAGTAGAGCCGGCAAGCGGGTGGGGCGAAGGTCCCGTGAGAACGCTTTATGTTTGCATGTGTACTTTCTCCAGTTAACGAGAACTTTTTATGGAGATATTATATTGAAGATGAGATGATTTTAATTATGGTGTAAGATTGGTAGCTGGACAGCCTTTAGGCCGCAATTGGAACAAAAGCAGTTAGATGTTTTGAAAAGCCCCCCAAAAAAGCACTTGAGCTATGCCCGCAGTAAAATAAAATGAGTTGCAGGAAGGTTTT